CTTCTGCCTTTACCCATGCTGTCCATGGATGGTACGGTCTGGGACGGGCATATTATGATGCAATTATCCCAAGGAATTTACACTCTAGAGACCTTGTGAAACACCCCATCTCAAGGGTGAGCATACATAGCCATGGAAAATGCATAAGAATCAACATGGCTTACAGTGCAGATTTGATAGCAAGATGTCTACAAATGGTTTGAGGTCATCTGAGTGGAACCCATTCTAAGTACAGAAGGAATACCTAATCAGGCACCACTCACCACAGAGTGGGATCCAAATTGAAGCCGAAACAGGGGACCCTGAAAGAAAAGAAAGCATTAGTGAGGACATATCTCATGTCACAGCCACATCAAAGTCTGCAGAATAGCCACAGGTGGCAGGCAATATCCGTGGAAGTAGAAACAGCAATTTGGTGTAGGTAGTGGGATATGAACATGTGTGGAGTCATCCACATGCCTGATCAATGGCTGACAAAGACGAGAAGCAGGGGAGAAGGTAAGGAGATGGATTTGATGTGAGGAAACATGAAAGAGATCACACTGGTAAGTAGACAAGGAGGAATAGGCCAACTGGATCAATCATCGAACTCAATTGGTCAGGGAAAGCCAGGAAAAAAATCAGGGTAAGAGGAAGGTTGCCAAGAGATGAAAAAGCAGGAACAAGGACCCCAGAAGAAAGCCGTGTGAGCAATATAACAAAGGAAAGCATGAAGAGGACAAAGGTGTTAATCTGGATCAGGAAGAGGGCAGAGATGAAATATAGAGGATAGGCAGATAGGGAACGAAAGAACTTACCTTACTGAGATGCAGAAATCTTGGGAAGGAAAGCATGATCCAGATAAAGGATAAGGTAAAGGAGTAGTACAAGGTCCTGGTAATGTTGAGGGCGAAAATATCCTACCTATGACACCTACAGGCCAGGAGAGGAGGAAATATACCTTCAAAGAGAGGTGAAACAGGGAACACATAGACAGAGATTCTATTGGAGGTAAAATGAGAGCATGATGGACCACATTAATGTCCCAGTCTGGGAAAGACTGATGCCTTGGTGGCTGATGGACCTGGAAGGATCAGATCAACATGGAAAGGATAAGGGAAGTAAAAACCCTGTGGAAGCAAGAAAAATGGAATGTATGGGATATGGGTTAATGCTGCCCAAAACCTCGAAATCGAGGAGACTGGAGAACTCCTCTCAAAGAGCCACAAGAGAAACTCGAAGATGCAAGTACCATTAGGTGAGAAACCCATAAACCCAGAGTCAATGTCTAGGTACGATAAATGCTCCATTTGCATTGATAGATGGCCAAAGAAGAAGGGCAAATGGAATGGGCTACATGACAAGCTACTCTGCAAGAGAAACCAGAACTCCTAGCCAAGGACCTGACAAAAACAAGCCCTGAAGACGGAGGACAGATGGAGCAGGATGGAGCATTGGTGACTGGAGTTGACAAAGAAGGTCAGGACGGAAAGAAAGAAGAAGGACCATCTGCAGTTGGAGCAACCAAAGTTGAGCAGGCCAGTAAGAAGCAATCAGAAGAACCGTGCGTGGAGTGGCATGGATGAGGTACACCACCCAATGAAGTAAATGGATGGGGGGTAAACATAAAGGAACAGATGAGACCAATCCTGGCTGAAGGCATCGACAGCTGAGGCTTGAGGATGGGGACCACAACCAAGGTAATTTGTGATTGAGAGTGGTGGCAAAGGCTTTGATATGGGACATATTTAGATGCATACAGAGCCAATAAAAAACAGCGGGATGCAGGGACCACTCTGTGGGATAAACTTGATCCAGTCAGGAAAGATGATCAGCTATGAGGTTGAAAGCACCTGGTACATGACACATCATCAAATGCATGTGATGTATGTGGGCCTAATAAAGAAGATCCATAGTTCAAAAACATAGGGACCTGGCACCACCTTGGTCATTGATAAAAGCACCACAGTAGAATTGTTGGAATGGATCATAACCAGCCAGAGGCTGGCAAGAGAAAGAATTGATCCAAAGCCCAATGAACAGTCAGGTGTTGGAGAACATTGATGTGAAGAGAACTCTCCTCCACAGATC